CCGGGTTGTCTGACCTGCCGTCATTGCCACAGCACCTTCACCATGGAACAGGCTCTGATCACACATTTCAATCGAGGCTCATGTCCGTCCTGATGTGTCAGCGGGCCAAAGCACAGCATTTCGGCACCACCATTGTTTCCGAACCAGACCATATGAGTTCGAGGATTGATCACACTCTTCCCACCTTGCTGCACAGGCACTTCGATCTCAGTCAGGCCGGCAGTGAGCATGATTCGGAGCCGGGTCCAACATTCGACCTTGTGAGTCTTTGGTTCCCAATTGGTATACTCCATGTTGGACCCTGCTGCAGTGTGTAGTTTCGGCACACAACTGATTGGCTTTCGCACTTCCCAGAGATGCCACACACCAACTTTGTGCCTGATCAGGCATTTGCCATGATTCGTGTTCTTGGACATCAACTACCCACAGCATGCCTGGACCTTGGACACCGATTGCATTCCTTACCAGCAGTGGCATGCAGCTCCGATTCATAAGTGCACACATGATCAACTTGCCTTCATCAAACATGTCCTTGGCCACCTTGCACAGATCCTGGCCCAAAACGATTTGCATCAGCTGGCCCCCACTGCATATGATGGACCTGCAAGACACCGAAGACGATCAATCCTTCCAGGACTTGCTGACTGCTTGCCAAGAAGGCTTCAAGAGGCCACGATACGAGACATCGTCCACCGGCCCCCAGAAGAATGGCCGAGAGCAGCGAAAAAGGAACTCGACCTCATCTACGAGCACCTGAGACAGCAGAGGTGGGGATGATTGATCTTTCTCCAATGTGGCAAGGGCTCATTGATGCCATCCCCACTCGAACTGGGCAAGAGGTGGAATGCTCAGAAGCAAGCAGGGGAAACCACAATATCTCTCCGACAGACAATATTCCAGGCCGTGTTCACAGAGTTGATCAACAGAGCTGGCAAGCTGAACCTGACGGCAAAAGAAGACGCACTGGTCCAGGGCCTCAAGGCTACAGCCGAACCAGAAGACTCCTCTGACGTCCGACGATGTATGTCAGACTCTTCGTCGGATCCATCAGTTGGGCGAGAACCCCAATTTGGTGCTGAAATTTTGCAGCTCTACGACCCTTGACTCAGGACAGTCTGCCGCAGGACGCCGCCATTGCCATACCTTGGAGGCTGGACGTGAGCCTCAGGGGCCCAGAAGCTCAAGAACTACATATGCTCCTGCTCAAGTTGGCCGGCAACGGCATTACTCAACTCATCCTTATGAGGATGAGGCAAACCACGTTGCAGAGATCGCCACTGGCGGTTGCAATCTCCCACAGATTGCGCAAGTCCTGAGGGGCATCATGACGACCAGCCTCCTGAATCCAGGATCCACGTGCTACCTGAACAGCACTTTGCTGGCTCAGGTATGGACCACCCTTTGGACGACACCGCTCGAGCTTGATACTTGGGGAGCATGGACGCAATCGATTTTGTGCATGTTCACAACACATGCTGGGGAGGCTCACAATCCATGCCAAGCTTCATTTTTAGGTAGCATGCTCACAGAATGGTTCACCTCTCATGCCATGACTGCGCAACATGACGCAGGAGAGTTTGCAAGTTGGATGCGAGCTCAGATGATTGAAAAGAAATTGATACCTGGAGGGATCCTCACGATCCATGCATGGGACTCACGACTGTTCACCACCACTGAAGACAGCGGTTCACTCATTGCACCCATTGTCCTTCGTGATTTACCTGAGGGTCAGACGCCTCTGCAAGAGGTGATCCAGCAGTGGCATCACCACGGACCCTGGTTGAACGGGCTGAGAACAGCTAACTCTTGGGTTTGTTTGCAACTGGAACGTCATCCGAGGTTGCATCACCGCCACTGTCAGGCCATCACGTGGGAACGGAACCGCATCCAGCTACCTGTTTTTGACGGCTACAATCACTGCTCCATCACTTGGACGGAGTATCAGATCGTGGCCGGTGTCCTTCACATTGGCAATATTCCTGTTGAGGGTCACTACTGTACCAGGCCGTTTTGTTCAACTCCGGAGCCGGCCTCCTGTGTGATGACAGCTGCAGGCCCCGACGCCTCACTCGTGATAGGTCCTTTTATGAGAATATCTACCTGATCTGGGCGGCCCCAATGGCTGCACTTTGCCCAGAATATCGACGACCACTACCATGGCCTCCAGCAGACACACTCGGCAGTCTCATCTTTGAGCACTTAGGTTGAGGATGCATAGCACCTTGATAGGCTACCGATCCTCTAGAAGGAACCACACTTCGTTGTGCGGCCCAACACGGGCGGATCGACCTCGACCGCTGGCAGAGGAATGAATGAATGAATTTAAATAAATATCTAAATAATATTTCGTATATGTTTTCTTAATATTTATATATATTTATAAAAATATTTTCAATATATTAATATCAATATATATATTGTTAAAATTTAGATTTTCAAGAAATCAATTATTATATATATAATTAATATATATAAATTTGAATATATTAATATATATCTAATTGAATTATATTATATATATTGCTTGAATCTATAATATCTTTAATTATTGATTATATAATAAAATTATTTACAAATAAAATTGTATTTTATACAAATTATTAATATTATTGTTATTTATAAATATATATTATAAATATAAATATTTCAATGGATATAATATATTTTTAAATAAGCATTTAATATTCAGATTATATATAATGGTACCAAAATCTTTTATATAATAGATGTTTATTTTCGATATTTTGGACCCATATTCCGAATTTAATCGTCAATTTAAAAATATCCTATAATTTGATAAGGCAAATAGGAAGACCTTCCAGATATAATTTAGGAAGGTCCATCAGACTATTAGATCCAATTCGTTTTCATTCGTATTGGATTGAGATATATTGCCTGGAATATTGATTTATCATCATTATTTTAATGATCTATAATGGAACAGATATTGATTCCCTATTTCAATTATATTCATATATATTTTATTGAATTCATTAATAATATAATGATAGAATACCTGAATTCCATCGATTGCATCATACCACTGCCGGACCTATTGCAATGATATAATTGATTAACATTCCCTGAATCCTTCTAAATAAAAATATATAAAATCTAATTCCTATATTAATCTTTCAATCTTTAATCAGAATTCGATGATTCCTCAATATCACCCAATTATTCTCTGATTTTCCGGAATTATATCCCATATATTTTCTAATTGATCAGATATTTTGCTTTATTGCAGATTTGACCTTCGATTTGCCTATCTATTGGGCTTGCGGCCGGATCAATTCATCCATGAAAAATTCGAAGATCAATTAATGATCATGAAATATATTATTCCTGATTGATCCTGGCGAAAAAAAACCTGGCATATTCGGCATTCGAAAAGATTGGAAATGATCAATCCTTCGAGGATCTAATATCAATCTATTCCGATAATTTCGTCAAAAGATAATGAATAGATATCTCATTCAATGATCCTCCCAAATATGATCGGGAATAATATAAGAAGAATTCCGGCTCCTCAACCAATACATCGGAAGGCAATTCCAAGACACCTCGATTTAGGAAATTAATCAGCAACGTATTAATGCAATTTATATTTCTAAAAATATATTAATTAAAAATCGCTATTTCCATACCCGCAACTAGTGTAGCGGGGCCTGCAGGGCCTCAAGTTAGACTCCGAAAATTGAGGTTTAGGATGGTATACCCAGAGCATGCTGCATAAGCCAATATTAAAAACCTAGACCCTACCCTAAATACCCGGGGGCATGGGTCTAGGATAGAATTCCTAGCAACATATTTTGATAACATGAATTCGCGAAAAGATACGTAAAATTGATGGACAAAATCGCACAGGAAAATTGACATCCTTGTTGCCTGGGATTTCAACAATTCAGGTTTCTTTATCTCGAATTCAATAGATTTAGCCCTCTAGTTCCTTTGATGAGTTCAGACAATTTTCTATTAGTCTTTTCCCTCACGTGGGGTTCTCTCCAAAGGTGGTGGTCTAGGGTATTTCATTTTAGATCTCCCATTCCAGATTTCATTCTCCTAATCTGTATTATTATATCCTATTTTATTTATAATTTTCATGCTTCATTATTAGGGTTCGGGTTCTCTTCAATGAGAATGTCTAAGAATACAATCCTAAAATAATTTCCTTAGGGCTTCAAAATTCTTTGAAATATTTTGAATCCTCATTCGTGACCATTTTATCAGCTATATTTCTATTATAATTAATAAATAATTAATCCATAATATAATATCTAATGCCAAATTTCAAACAATCTTTCCAAACCCTCAATATTTAAAAATATTTATTTCCTATCGATTTTGCATATCGAAAAACATATTCAATAATAAATAAATAAATAATCAATAATAAATAAATAAATTAAAATCTTAATATATTATAATATATTTAAATCAATATTAATTATTAATATCATTTTTTTTTTTTTAATCGTATTAAAACTTAAATCATATAATTCCAAATAATTTTAAATATTAATCGTTATAAAAAAAAAATAAAATCATCATAATTCATTCCTATACCTATATCTTCAAGATTAATTTCATAAATATAATCCATTCAAAATAAATAAAATAATATAAAATACAATAAATATATAAATACCCCATTATATATTCAATTTATATATATATATTATAAGATATTGAATATATTCAATAATATATTTATATATATATATATATATTGATATATATATATATTGATATATATTGCACGCTAGTAACCATCATCCAGAATCTATGGGGATTGAGGAGGGGCAATGCGTTTAAAAGGAGAAGCCCAACACACACTCACGTCCCACCATCCCAAAAAGCAATTCTTTACAAATTCGGAAAGTCCTTCAAACAAAATTTGTCCTGTAAAGAAGGCGCGAACCCCTCAGATACCATCAGATACCTGGAATCTTACTTTTATATGTCGTGATCAATTGCATCGCATAATGGCATAGTATATTTTCCTTAAATTGTTGATTTCAACGCAAGTTCATCGAAAATGACTGCTGTCCTGGCCTCAATGGATTGGCGCGGAATCTTTGTCCTCGCACTTGGATCATCAAAGGCACTATGGAAAACAAAACGAGGGACGTCAGGTCGACGATCGTAGCCTTAGCTGGTCAGATGTTGAATGTTTTCTCTGTATGGTGATGTGCAAGTGAAGGTCACCCAACAATTTCTGCATTGGGCTTTCCAAGCATAATCTTCTTTCCTGAGCTTGGACAGGACACAACTATGACACATCTCGGACGGTGAACGACACATATCTGTTTGAGAAAAAACGATCACCATGCATCCCAGGACAAACGCCAACCTTCGGCTCCGTCCAGGACAGCTGGAGCAGGTGGGACAGCACCCAGTGGGACAGTGACCAAGGGCCTGCATGGGATGGGTCAGATGTTTATGGCTTAGCAGCAACTGAAGATCAAGCACTCATCGATCCTCATCTCAGGATAGTAGTACCACTTGTGCGATGCTGCTGCGCGGTTGGACAAAGACAATCTGCTGCCCACCCGATCTGGGTAAACCATCTCATAGTTCATCCAATCCTCTTCTTCAACGCTTCTTGGATCGCACAAAGACAGTGGATAGTCAAAGGCTGGATTTAGCGGATCGATGCTGCGCCACACATTGATAAATGCGAACCTCTGCCCCGAGGACAAGACCTGTCACGATGCAGGTTGGGTCTTTGTCAGCAATTCCCCAATTGTTGATTGTATTTGATTGTTACTTTTTTTGGAGGCACCACCGGGTCATGTCATACTGGGTCGCTCATCTGCTTCGAATTCCACAACGTCCAAAGGAAGGACAAAAAACCAGCTCCGAGCATCACCCGGAACTCTGCACGGATTCGCTTCTGAACTTCCCTAAGGCAAATCGGATCAAATCAGCACCACATTCGACCAACCCGTCTGAAACCAAGGACCTGTGCACTTCGAACGGGTGGAGATCGGGCCTCTCGTGAACGTCGGATTTCCGGCCCTTTGGAACGTCGCTGGGCCTTCTGAACGTCCTCTGCCGGCAACAGCACCCCTGTGTATCCCGGTGTCTGTGCCAGTTGCTGCAGACGTTGGGGCGCTGAGCGCTCGTTGTAATCCGCGTGCACAAAGGTGGCAGGCCCGGCCCACTTCCCGCGAACGCCCAGAGTGTTCAGCCCGGAAGCTGTGCTTGAGCGAATCCTCGGGCAAATCCGAACTTCTAGCTCTGGCAGTGTCTGGATCTAAACCAATTCCAACGTGTCTGAAGGGTGAAGCCAAGATGGATGATTTAACATCTGAGCATGATCAGATTTCAGAACCAAAGCCTCCATGTATTTACTCCGTTGCTATTTAGCATGGCCAAGTTTAAGTAAGGATCCACCGCACGTCACGCGTGATGATTCTATTCTTTGGATAAGCTTCCTCAGGCAGGCATCCAAATCTGTCCAAATCAGCCAAGACTCGTGTGGTCGAACACCATGACTCGCTCAACTTTCGCCCCAGCTTTCTCCAGAACTTCCGACAACAATGATTGAACCTCGCTGTAATAGACCTGAAGAGACTTCGGCGTATGGGTGTCTGCCAAGATGCTAAGAATCTGCCGGCGATAATAGAATTGTCAAAAAAATACAAGCAACAACCTGTCGGGTTGTAGGCTCAAAACAACATGATTATATATATAATATACATGTTATATATATAACTATATCATTACGGTATATATCTGATTTAACTTCTCCTGCACACATCTACAAGCAATATGTCCAGGAAGTACGGATCCACGCTTCTCATCTTGCTATTAGGATCTACCAATGAATACAGTTAATTTTATGCAGTAGACAGTTCTTCAACCCTAACCTTCCTGCTCCCGGTGTTTGTTTGGAATTTGGGTGCACTTCTTGAGCTTCTGTAGGGAAACCACGGCGAATTGCAGGGCACTGCAGGGATCTCATTTCTGCCGGCCTTTCGCACTTCAGACTCATCTTCGAAGCTTTGCATCCTTGCGAAACACCGGACAGACCGGACATGAATCAATCAGTCTTACTCTTTGGGACACTCCTTTGCCATTCCAACAACAAGTGTTGTTTTGCTCACGATGTCAGTCTACCAAACAGGTGAGCAGTTCTTCATAATAGTTCTTTGACGAATAATTGTGTTGCATTTTACTTGCCATCACTGGCATCCGATGCACAATGCCAATCTCTTTTAACCCCTGGTCCTTGTTGGGGCTTGCAAGAGCTCAAATCCGGCAGTAGGCCAGGACAGGACTTCAGTGGCCAAACGCGCATTTTGGATTTCAACTTCGGTTTCTTCACGAACATCACAGAGGTCACCAGGATCCTGGAAACTTGGGTCAGGAGAGATGTATCGCCCAATCCGCTGGCCGGGAATGACCTTCTGATAGGCCAGGCTAGCACGAACCATGTTCACGAATGCAAAATGTGTAATTTCGACATCTCAAAGACATTGATCACCAACCTTTTGGTAAAAGTCAAAGAATCAACCGAATGATTATAAATTCTAGTCTCTTGGCATCTACAACCAGTCCAATATTTTAATATGTTGAATAATGTGTGGAGGCCACCGCGAACTGCAATGGCAATTATTCTCTTTTTTGACATGCCTATCTTCAATTCATACCTGTGGGATGTATTTGCAGCAGTGGAGATAGCCATGCTTTGCCTAAGACCTGGTTATATTGTACAAGATACAGTAACTAAACCTGACATGGTAATCATGATAGATGTAGATGCAACCTGTGGAGCCTCAGCGAGCAAATCAGTCTTGCAAACTCACATCTCGGCAAATTCATCAGATTCATACGTCTGCAACTAAGCCTATACTTCCAAGCATCATATCCAAACATCTTCCTCAAATCAACTCTACTATACGTCTACTCAGTCTGTCGTTCGTCCTCGCGGAAAAAGAACAGCCAGTCACTTTGAAGAGAAAAGCAGTCCAGTCCCAGTCCCATGGGCCCCACGGCTCACCATGACCCGAAACGAGAGAAAGAGACCTGATACGTCAAGAACCGCTGTTTTTGTTGTGTATATCCCAAAGAATCTCTTGGATTTGCTGTCCAGGTTGCTGTCCACGAAAAATATCAACATATCATCTTCTCCAGAAGAGGATTCGTCCACACGGGAAAATACACATCACCCTGCCGTTCTGTTATTTCGTTGCACAACAATGGGTACAGATTCGAGGAAACGGCTGCTCACGCGCGCGTCGTCGGTTTCTTTTGCCTCTTGTCCAAGGCGGTCTGTGCTAGATTCGGCGGCATAGGATCTTTGGCATCAAGGTCCACAATTGCTTGGGCCCTTTCTGCAGCCGGCCGCCGTGTCATGCCCTGCCCGCTCGCTCACTCGCTGTTTGCTCGCTGCTCGCTCCCGACCCCTCGCTCACTCGTGCGCCAGGATGGGCTACCTCACCAAGGGACTTGTCGCATCAAGGTCTTACAGGGATGGATCTCAAGCAACAGCTCTGCACCCTGATTTTCTCGGAGTCTCGAGCATCTGCTCGAAATCAACTCGAAGATGGAGACTCCCTCCGCTCCCCGAACGGACACAGTCTATTTTCTACCCCCAGATGAGTTAGGAGTTGTGCCAATTATAATAGTCCCAACTCACTAGTCCAAAGTAGAAGTTTCTTGATGCAAAAAACATCTGCAATCATGCTTGCAGCTGCAAGCCATCATCTTTGACCTATTCTTTGGAGTGCGCTGACTCTTGGCTGTCCGCCGGCTGTCCCCCAAGTCTTCACTACAAATTTTACCAACACCCCACCAAGTGTGTCCCTGTTCCCTTGCGCCACGTTCCGCCTGGAAACGTCCTACAGTCTGATTTGCCGGGTCCTAGAACAAAGGCCCTCAACTGATCTCAACTGGTAAGGGAACTTAATTACTTCAAGACCTAGGAAAACACTATAGTAATTTGAAGAATTGCTCGAATGGTAAGCAACTTTCTCGTCGCCTTTAAAGTGCAAGTCACACTTTGAGGTCTGTCCGGAAGGCACTTTCAAGGCTCTCGAGGAAGACGTCCACCTGATGCTAAAGGAGGAAGACGGAACACAGGCGACCCGGTGTCAAACGCGTTTTAATGGGTTTTCTTTTCAGTGGAAGCGAGTGCTTTGTTGTTTTGATGATCCCATAACTAAGAACCAGATCTGACGTATACAATCTTCTCATCATTCACCCGATTGTTGATCTACACACTTAGTGGAAAACATCACCAAGCGGTGATAGGAACTGAGTGGTGCAAAACAGCTACACCTTTACTATCCTTTACTTAAAGAAAAGCGTTTAAACTACAAAGAAGAACCGGTCGTCAGGGCCGCCTAGGATCTTGCTGAGCTGTGTTGGCACTGAGGTGGTCTGGGATGCACGGCTCCAGCTTCTCAGGTACGACTAGACCTGAAGAAACACCTCCAAGACCTACATAACCAGACCATCCAAAAGAGAGTGGAATAGTTACATACATTGGATTACATTGGAGTCGTGTTCGTGGGGTAAATGTATGTAACATTATGCAACTATTCCAGTCCCATGGATGGTCTGGGATAAAGAGAGTGTCCAATCACCTTTCATAAAGAGGGTGACAGTGGATCCATCCAAGAGCTCCTCGATGTCTCGTCCGCTGTTTACCCGCCAGACAGGTGCAGACTTCTTAGTTCTTCTGCATCGGGGTTTACCGACTTCTTACAGATCTTACGGAGGTCGAGTGGCGCTCCATGCCATCTGAAAGGTTGCCATCCTGGCAGAAAGGCTGGCTCGTTGCGAGAAGACCGCGCCCCACCTTGAGACTGTTGGGCTCCTCTACCACCATCTCTGGGTCGCCCCGCGCGGTGGCCTGGACCACGCGTCGGGGCCGAAGACGGCGAGTGAGTTTCGCACCCTTTGGGACAGACGGACACGCACCTTGTTATTGACATCCTCATAGTTGTGTGATGAGGATAACCAGTTTGTTTTTGCTCACGTTTTTGCAATTATTACATAATTCGAACATAGAAAAGAGGATCTCGTTGGTGTCTATGAAGAGAGTGCACCTTTATTGCTGTCCAATCTTTTCATTACGGCCTGGAAGATTAGTCAAGATGGATCCTGAAAACCACTGGGTTGTAGAGGAAAATAGTCTTCCAAGGGTTCATGTTCCGATTCCATTGTAAATCTTCCCGGGAGTAAAACGACCACCTTTAAATTCCCCAAATCCAGACATTGTGCGCCCAGGCTTTTGCCTGAAGGGAGCACGGGGCACCCGCCATCTTGGCAGCTGACATCACACGCTCTTCCAACCACGAGAGCTCCTGGAGAAATCTCCCGATCGAAGGCGAAACTGTGAATCCAGGGTCCTGCGGGAGATGGTGAGATGGTTCATCAAGCAGCTCAAGCCATGTGGTGCTCGGCTCAGCTCCATGCGCCATGCTCCATGCTCAGCTCCTCACCCACAGAAGTGACTTACTCTGCAATTTGTCATAGGAACCATTTCCTACTTGCACGGCACTATCTTTTGGTGACGTTGGATTATCATGGATTATCTAGACTTGATGGTTTTCCGTGAGGCTAGCCACAACGTGTCTACTGTAACTCTGGCTTGGTAACTTTTCTGCCAGTGCTAGTGGACAACATCAGAAGCATCCAGGTGCAAACCACCACGCAACTTCATTTTACTTCAACTGTGATATAGTCATATGCACTTCTGACTTAGGGTTGGGAGACTTCAAGTGACTTAACTGCACGGTTGGCACCCCAAAGCATGCCTTTCCTTGCAACCAAGACCGGTCATTCCTTGAAACGAACCGCTCGACCACATGCTGCGGGTCGCACAGTGACTGAACTGGTGATCAAAGGAAGGAAACCACCCAACACCATCCAAACAAAAACAATAATAACATATTGATATTGATAACTCAAAAAGCATCACGCACACCGGGAGCCCTCCACGTTCGTTCGCCCTCCATGTTCGTTTGCTTCGTTGGCTCCTGCGGTTCCTTGTCCTCATCTCTGAGCATCAACGCCTCGCCGCCGGAAACAACCCTCGGTCCTCCGATCGTCATCGCTGACTAGTCGCCAGGGGAACAGCAGCCGGACGAAACCTGCTCAGCTCTTCTGTTGGCCATCCCAAGAGAGGTTAAGTGATCGTAAATATAGGACCCGTAACCCGGGGTACTTCTGGGATAGTCTGTAGGGTTCCTCTGTTGGTCACATTGAGATTGGATAAAGATCCACGGTCAAGGACTGAGCTTTCAATCTGTACCCTTCGACCTGTACCAAATTGGGATTGGTTTGTGAACATATCATGATTCGTGTGGACTTGCTTTGGTAGCAACATTTAGCTTGTACTATCAAAAGCATCTGCGGAGTGTTTTGGAGGACTTAGAGGATCGATGGCGCACAGTGACAGAAGATCTAAGCTGGATTGGAGTCGTTGGAGGGTTCTTGTTAGGGGTAGTGGTTATAGTGGCTATAGTGAGCTTTGCACCAATTTGATTGGACATATTGCATATATATCGTGACACTGTCTTCAGTTAGAAGTGTCCTAAACATGTCCGCTACATCTCACTCATGGTAAGTACGCCAGCTTTGGGTATTGTCGCAACCGCCAGCCTTTACATCTCACACAATGCAGTTTGAAGCGGGCAACCTAAACCTAATATATGTCTTCTCCAAGTATTCTACTCAAAACCCTAAATCATCGCATCATCTTTAGCTCGGTATAGCTCGGTCATGTCAGGTAGGAAGAACATGGAAGAACATTCCCAAAGGACCGTGTGCCGCTTTTCAAGTCCGCCCTCGTCACTGAGCTTGCCACGGCGATATCGCTGATGGTGCGGCCCAGTTCGACCACCCCGATGTAGACCAAGCTCGTACAAAGCCTGCCGTGGCACGACCAACACCCGAGAGACCCTCGACCCGACCTCGCTGGTGTGTGAAAACAGCCACCAGGCTCTGCGCGAACCCACTCGTCCAGTTTGCAAAAAACACATAGAAACAACAAGATTCATGAATACTTATGACCGAGGTTCTGAGGGGTGGACCCTTTCCCACGTATTCCCCTTCTCTTCGACTGGGGCAATCATGGGCAGTCCAGCATTTTTGGAATTTTAAGAGGAACGAAAAGACATCTCTGGGTCTCTGCATGGGGATTGTCAGGCTGAACATCATCAATCAAAATCCAAGACCTCTTTTGCATGTGTTTGATCTGTTTTCTGAACAACTGGTGATGCACATATATAATCATAATCTGTAAGTGCATCTAGCCCCTGTGTGTCGTGAAAAGGTGATTGTTGAAGAGTGTACTTATAAAACTGCTGACTGCTGATGACTCAATTGGCCCCCAAGACTCGATTAGCCACCTGGTTGCCCGGAATTCCGAGCGCCCCCAACACCTCAGCCCTGGAGCCTCAGAGTGATCACAGCACTCTCTTCCAACCTTACACAGCGCAGTTCTGCCCCTGTTCATCATTGTCCACTATGTCCATGTGGCGGTGGGTTGTGGGAGTCGCGGCAGCGAAAACACACAGTTTTTGCACCAAGTTTTTTCCAACCTAAAATGAGCAGAATCGACGGCCTGACATGTCAACCTACCAGGGTGCAACGGGGCTCCGGGCGTGAAGACCCACAACGATGTTAGCCAAAGGGATGGATCCGAAAAACCAAATACAATACAGTACAGTATATTTATTCCAACAGATTGATGGAAACATGATCCATCCATGATTCTATCACTGTACAATGATACTGACTTTGGTAATGATTTGTAACGATCACCAGGAACCCAACCTTTGTGACACCCTTTTTGCCTGCGCTCATATTTTAGATCCCGACCGCTTTTGATGGCCACAAATCGAGGTAGGGTGCGAGATGCCATAGCTGGAGCGAAGCAGCTATAGATGTGACTCCACGTGGACAGCCAGCACAACCTTGGGATCCACACTCTGGAGTTTTGAGATGGATCTGTATTAGGACCCATCAGGCCAGGTTTCCCTGCCCAGCGTCTTTCAGCATCTTGCAGGTGTCCTTGAGCTTCCTTGGGAGTTTCCAGATCTGCCAGCGTGGGCCCACTAGTGGGGAAGAGGTAGGAGCCGGGGAAGGTAGGTTGACCAAAAGGGGCACTAAGAAAACCTGAGAAGCATGAACTGAGTCTAATGAATGCACAGCCGGTCAAATTCTGACCGTGTTTCCAGGAAGTCAACGAAGTAGTCAACAATGAAGTGCGACTCGAGGAGCTCCATCGCGCTGTTCCAATTCAAGGGCGCTGCTCCGAGATCCCTCGAGCGATCCACGCCAGAGTAGGTCTGCCACTTTTGGGGGCGTGACCGCTGGATCGTAAGGTGGCCTGCAGTGCCAATCAGCGACGCGTCTGTAACTCCAGCGTTCTTCGCAAGACAACTGAGCGTCGCTGTCCAGTCAGCTCGACTGCGTGAGCATGCAGATCGAAGAGCGCGCGCTGCGCAGCCAGCAACTGCTCGCTGTCCAATTAACCTCACTTTGGCCATCCTTTGTGTGGGTAAAGACTCACCGCCAGGTTGAATTGCAAGATCAAGCCATTGAAAGGGACATCTTCATTTGGGCCCATTTGGCTTTTCATTCTGCTACCAGTTCCAATCAAATCTTGGCAAGTTTTCAAAACAAACAAGCGCAAACCAATGTGTACAGATGTGGTGGAGCAAACTAAGCAGGTGAGGTTTTCCAGCAGTTGAATTTTCTGGGTGGTAATATTATTAATCTAAAATGTACTCTGCATCATTGAAAAATTATGTATTCCTGATCGTTCTAAGGTTGGTGGCCTAAAGCCGTGAAAGCACCGACGAAACAAATCAGAGCATGGCAGGACAATACACTGCAAAAAGTTACACCGGCATGGACACGTCACGGGCGGCTGTCACCGCAGCATGCAACATCAGACCAGTCCACCACTACGCACAGCATCTATCAGCTGAATGCGCCCGCTTGCCCAACACAGACGTAAAACTGCAAGATCGGCAAGGCCCAGACGACATGAGGATCATCGCTGCGCAACACGGTCATGAACAATATGACAGCATGTCACGCGTGGCGTGGCATGAGGTCGTCCTTGGCATGACATGATGTTTCTCACCCCTGGCATGGCCTGATGCCATGCCTGGTAGGACATGATGTCATCCCTGGCATGACCTGGTGTCATACCTGGCATGACATGATGTCATCCCTGGCATGACGCAAAACGAAAAGCCAATCCAGAGCCAGTGCCAGCAACAGCATGGCACCAGCGCCGGCCAAACAAAACGCCGATCCAGCGCCAGCACCAGCAAAGCAGCAGCACGTGCAAAACGAAACGCCGGTCCAGAGCCAGCACCAGCACCAGCAAAACCAACATGCCGATCCATAGCCAGCATCTGCGCGCGCACCAGCACAGCAGCAGCACCTGCAAAACCAAAATGCCGATCCAGAGCCAGCACCTGCAGGTGCTGCGGTAGCAGCGCCTGCAAAACCAAAACAGACAGCGCCTGCACCTGCACCAGCATCAGCACGGCAGCAGCACCTGCAAAACCAAAACGCCGATCCAGAGCCAGCACCTGCACCTGCATCAGCATGGCAGCAGCACCTGCAAAACCAAAACGCCTGTCCAGAGCCAGCACCAGCACCAGCATCAGCACGGCAGCAGCACCCGCAAAACCTAAACGCCGATCTAGAGCCACACCATTGAGAATTTAGAGCCCGTATAGCCTGCAGCTATCTGGGGAACAAAGAACAACAGCCAAGTATAACAATCAAAAGCCAAAAACTGTGCATAAAAGGTACGCTGGCGCAAACCTAGCGCAGACCGAGCGCAAACCAAGGGCAGCTGGTGAAGCCGGCCGGCGGATCTACCGCAAGGAACACTTTCCACATATTTTTGTCAAGAGCACAACGAAAGGACGTGATGGCAACTGCATGGGGTATCTTCTGCTCCTCCTTGGTCATCTGTGGCCACGCCGCGCCAAAGTAGTTCCCGCTCCAATAGTTTCCAGCAGCCAGTAGATCACGGCTGACCCAGGTTTGTAAAGTGGCAGCAGACATCACACTCTTGCGTGGCAAACCTGCCTGCAGATTGTAGCATTGCCGCGGGCCACTTCCACCTGCACTGTATCGCAGGCCTAAATCTCGCGTCGCCTGCACTGTATCTCGTAGCAACAGCGACAAATTCTTGGCTGCATACCCAGTGCCTCCCAGCCCTGGCAGCTTTTGAATCGCCGCCCACTTTTCTTCCTCGTCTTTGGCACCGCACAGTTCTGCAAAGACTTTCTTTGCGCCAGCCAAGGTCGGAAGCCATTGCACTGCACGCTGAACAATCAGCATGTGTGTCAGCTGCCAGTTAGCAGGTACCACTGCTTGAGCTTCTGGTACTTCCATAGCCTCTTCTTCCGAAAAGTCATCCCACACCATCTCGAGAGTCTCGAACGTTGCTAAATCTGCACCTGCGTGCCTAGCGACACGTTCCCACTCATTAGCACGTATCCGTTGTGGATTGTACCTTTTGTGGAAAGGGTTGCCTTTGCACCCTCGGATAGCAGCCTCATAGAACCAAGCAAGGTTTTTGGAGTCGCAGCTGGGGTCATTGACATCTCGCAACTTTGTCTTGTGGCTTCGCAGAGCTGCCAACCACTCGTCCGAGCCGAAGTAGAACGTCACCAAACACACACAAAATTTGGCAAAGTCATCTGAAAAGAGATCTGAAATGATACCCGTGCGGCGATGATGCCACTCACTATTCTGCACCACTGGCTCTTCCCAATCATAATTCGCAATCCAGGACTCGAGGGTGAGGCCGTTAAGTTCCACTGCCACCCGTGCGGATTGCGAGAGTACAAGAACCATGATATTTGTACTAGATATTAGTAAAAGTGAGGAGAGAGCAGAGATTTCAACAGAATAGTATGGAGCAAAAGTGAAAATTTCAATAGGCAACTAAAGAGATAAGCCAAGGTTAGAATGAAAAATCCAGAAAATGGAAAAGCGTAGAGACAATATAGATTTCATCAGAATAGTAGTCTGTAGAGATTTCAACGAGTAGACGAAAATTCAAAAATGCAGCAATAGCAAAATTCAATGGAAAACAAAACAAAGA